TACTAAGGTAAATTAGCCCCAATCTACCCAAAAAGGCATTTGGATCAAGGCGATTTATGACATTTTTCTTCGGGCATGCGCAAAAATCAAAATTTGGAGATGGACGAGAAGGTGACCTACGTTTTTAGGGTTTTGGTCGTCTTATTATTTTTTTTTTCTTTCCTTTTTCTCCTTTTCTTATCTTTTTGCTGTAGCTTTTGACCTTCTATTGGGCTTTCTTTCAGTTCAGTAATTTCCGAGAAAGCATTATCTAGACGGTAAATACTTACCACCGAGTAGCCAACTGTAGTTCAAGGTATTTTTGATACATTTCTTTGCCGTCCTCTGCAAAACAACAACGCGAAAATGACGAAACTCTGCGTTGTCTGGAGAAAGTGAACCATGATGACTAATATTTTAAATGTCTGTTTCGAAGTCAACACTGTTCCATATTCAGTTTCGACTGAGATAGTTCCGACAAAGGGAAACAAACTAAATGACTTCAGAGTGTCGCGAGATTCGTAGGTAAAATATAAATTCGTTTTTTTATCGCCTTTGTCTACGCCGTCGCAGTCGTGGTTTCTTAACTCCCTCCTATCCATTGTAGTGAGGGGTTCAAGAAGAAATAGCTTGTTTCTGCAACCATACCCATTCATTTTGATATTTGTTTTTTATCTACACGTAATATTTTGAGCGAGCTTTGAGCTCACTTGACCACACGTGGGTAAATGATTGATTGATCGATTGATTGATACCCCCACTTGTGTCAACTGCGTGCGTTTTTCTTTTGTAGAAAATTTGCAGTACGCGTTTGTGATACGTTTCCCTGATGTATACACCTGATTTAATAGTGATGGAAAAAGTTGGAATTACAGCCCATATCAAAAAATCCTGTGAAAACTACTTTTAAGTCGTTTATTAAACTAAGAATGATATGCGCGACCATTTAAACATCTCAAGGTCACGACAGCAACACTATACGAACACTGAAAAATGTGCTTTTAGTTTGTACAAGGACATATTTGTAGCAACATATTTTGACACGGCATACTGGATTTCCCCTGGACGACAGAAAAAGGAGTGATCACATCATTCATAAATTATCTGCCTACTAATCGTCAGCGTGTTAAGAGGAGGGCTAAGCACTACTTTGGTCAGTGTCGTCTTCAGGTATCAACTGGTCGTCGTTCTGGAGGCTGGCTTAGTAACATGACGTCAGTGGTGTCATGGGGACGAGATGACCTCACATCTTACATTGTGCTTGGCCTATAGCATTTCTAATAGGGCAGTTCGAACTCAGGAAGTAGTACGAATACTGTTCCAAACGAGAAACCACAATGACTAAACTGTACAGTCTTCGACGTCCATTCTCACTAGAAAAAAACAGAAGCGTTGTTCGCCCGTTGGTTAAAATCTGACGGGCACACATTTGTATCCTACTGACTGTAAAAACAGAAGTTGTCGAATGGGCCGTGCTACTTTTAACACTTTTAGCTTCTTATAAACAATTTCTCAAACGCACCTTCCGTGATTGGCATACATGAACATATCATTCCGTATAAGGCATTTCAGGATGTCAGGGGAATATATTAAACGGGTTACCGAAAGCAGCGAGATCCAATGAGCAGTAAAGAAAAAAACCAATCACCATTGAGCAATGTTCACATTTTCACATCAAATAGGGCACCAATTAGAATTCACGTCTAGGTTAGAAAATATAGGTAAGCAAAATGCCAATCATTTAGGAGGTTGACTGAAACTGCTTTACACAACAAAGGAACGATTCATTGGCGTTGGAAAGTCGGTATAACTATAATCTAGTGATCTTCTCCCGCAGCACCAAGTTGTTTCAGCAAGGCTCTTCGTCTGCTCTCCAATTCACTTTCGCTCTCACTCGAGGTGGTGTCCCATCCGGTCTGGAAGAAAAAACAGCAAACGGGCCGTCAGTCCACCAACACTTCCTTTTCACTTACCTAATAAGTTGAACAAACCGTTTCACCTTTTAAAACGTTTTTACATTGTGTGCAAATTGTGACATATCAGTTTAGAGAGGATCCATATGTGGTTTTCACATGTCAGCACGAACTTTGTTAACCAAAGTGTAAGGCCTGACGTGGAATCAAATTCACAGCTCTTTTCAAGTTGAGTACATTACTGCATTACGGAGTAGTTTTGAAGTGTTTTCCCCAAGACAAACATCAAACAAAAGCAGGGCTACGTTCAAGTCTTAAATTATTACCAGGTAACGACACGTGATTGACAGGTATCATAGCTAAAGCCAACACGATACACAAGGGTAGCAGGTACGCCAATGGAAAACAAAGGTAGTTCATCGGTTTTTGAACTTATAGAAGCTACAAATAGTATCTTTCATGACCACCGAGGAGAAATTGTTTTTTTCAACTCTAAAAGTGACTGTCCCCAACGTCGATTTTTTTCAAACCGAGAACTTGCGAGAATTTTCATGAAAATTGACACTAATTTGTAAGCGACTCCGTTATGTAATAAACCCTCTTAAATAATCTACCTACTGCATGCTTCAAAGGCTTACCCCAGTTATTTAAAATGATTCACGTAATACGTTAACTACAAACGACTCAACAAAGAATAAAAAAACAGCAGCTTTCCAACAGAGGAATCACAAAACAAATTAAACAGTGCTTTAATTCCACAAACAACTGTTACAAGCACGTTGGGGTAAAAAAACAACGGGCAGCTTATTGAAAAAATAAATTACAAGTCATCAATAAATTAATAACCTGGATAAATCCATCTGTTTGAAAATATATAACTCTTTCAATTTTCTTACAAATAACATAAACCCAATTTTACGAGGGCAAGAACTGGAATCCATCCTCAACAGAAATTGAATTAGGAAAAGAAGAAACAGTTGGAAAACTTAAAACCGATTTGACCAGAAATGAGCCTGACCCCCGTCCGCCATTTCTTCTTGTGTTTATTTGTTTTTCAGGGGAAACAAGTGCAGTTTACGGAAATCCACCTTGCCCTACTCGGTTGGGTTCCTTGTTTGTCCAGTCAGGAACAAGAATACTTCTGGAAAGTGACGTTAGCTCGTTGCCAAGGATACATGTTGTGTCACTCAGCAACATACCAGTTGAATGACTGCTTCAACGACTGGTACTTATCCCCCCAGGGATGTTTGAACTTTGAAATTTCAGAACTTGAAATGTCGGCCTTTGAAACAAGACAGCTCTGGTTAATCCTTTGAATACCAAACTTTCGCCAAAAAATACCGTTTTTAACCGTCTAGTCAGGTTTTTTAGCTGCCATGACGCTAAATAACCCTAAGTTTTCCTAAAAAAGCCAAAATTTGGACTTTTTTTTTTTTGCCATTAACCATTCTCAATTTTGTTTGTTGCCCCTTTCCTTTCTATTTTTCTCGGTCCTTTAACACTGGCTACCTTTTGCATTGTATGTTCTTTCTGGCTGCCGTGAAAAGTTGGATGTTAATTTCGGGCGAAGCCTAGAAATGGACCTTGATCAATCCGCGGCATAGGCGTAGTGGACCATTTTACCACCGTTTTTGCACCAAAACTGATAACGTTGTTTTTCGATTTGCGACGTCGGAATGTCGTCGATATCTAAACCTGACCAATAATTACGCATATATGCGTAGGTGGTATTCAAAGGGTTAAAGCTTGCTAATACTCGCAATAACCGATTACTTTTTTCCGTTCTCATAATCACCCATTTCTCTTTCTTTCCGCATAGTTCTTGCGCAAGACCTGTCGCAAAGATTGAGAAATATGAAGTATGGACTGATCATCAAGGTGATCGTGTCAGCACCTTATCCTGAGATTTCTTGGACTTCTCCTTGGCTTTTTCAGGCTCCTTATCCTTCTCCCTCTCCTTGTCCCGGTCCTTGTCCTTGTCCCTGTCTCTATCTCTATCCCTTTCCTTGTCTCGGTCCTTCTCTCTGTAGTCCCTTTCTTTCTCCTTTTCACGTTCTCTGTCTTTCTCTCCTTCCCTGTTGCGGTCTGTTTCCTTGTCCTTTTCTCGTTCTTTGTCTCGATCACGCCGATCCCTATCTTTCTCCTTCTCCTCCTTCTCTCTGTTATATCTCTCCCCTTCAGAGTCATCAGAGGGCTGGAAATCGAGAGGACAAACAAGTTAAAGATTGACTGTTTTTAAGACAAAATAACTTTTTTAAAGCACAAATCAGTCGACTACTCAAGCTCAGCTTAGGTCAGTAAAACACAGTGAACTCTTATTAAGCATCCCACTGTAAAAACTGGAGGTTGACCGACACTCTTTTGCACTGACTGTGATATTTCCCTTTTCGGATCAAAGCACATTTTACATGGTTATCTTTGTACATGGTTAACTTATCTATAAAGGTATACAAGTTATGTTACTTTCCTGTTGCCAGATGGTATAGATGACACCATGATCACGACTTACCGATCGTTGCCGCTTCTTCTTTGATTTCTGAAATTCCAAATACAAAACAAACCAGTAAGCTGGAGATAAGGAATAACGGTAAAGGTAAAGTCTGCGTTCGAGCCTCATGGCCCACTGAAGTCTATTTTTCCGTTCCTTTCTGACGAACTATCAACAAATTGAAGGATCTGATTATTTCGGGTAAATGGCTTAACGGAAGTCCAAATTTTCTCAAATGGATTCATAAAAAAATGTTAGGGAGGCAGAATGAAGAATTCTTTTTCTGACTTTAGGTGTTGAAGGGGAGCAAACATCTCACCTTCTTGTGTTTTTTCTTTTTTGTCGAGCTGACCTCTTTTTCTGGCTCTGAAATGAGCAAAGTAAACAACGGTAAGCGGAAGGACATTTATGGGTGAATGCCAAGTAGGGTGCAGAAAGTTGCATGACATGATGTCACGCATGTACATTATAGTCACACTAACCTGATTCCGAGGCAGATGACTCTTGTGATTTAGAGCGTGACCGCTTGTGGCGTTTCTTTTTGTGTGATGATGTCTTTTCTTTAGGGAACTCTTCTTCAGATTGAGATGATTCCTGCGCAGGGTGAACAAAGCAAATCAACAACAGCTGGACTCCGCTAATTCAAACGCGGTTATTTGGAATGTTTCCGTTATTTCAAAATCCAAACAATTTCCCTTTGATTTGCCCTTCAGCCAGTTACTATCGGCTATTTCGAACTATTTTCCGTTTTCCCTGAGAGTTCCAAATAGCCGGTTTGAACTGTATTTATCCCTTACTGACAAAAATATCGTCTGCAATTGAAACCACAAAATACCAAGCAAGCTCTATTCCCATTTTTTTTTTCGGTTTCTTTAGCATTAAGTACTTTGATAAAGCACGGTTGATATCGAAAGCTTGGAATCAGCGATTTGAGAAAAAAAAGAGACAAAAGATCAGTGGAATAACAGAAAACAAAGTAATTTAAATTTCCCTTTTTTCAAGACAAAAACGCATTTATAACTTACCCCACTGGGTGAGCGGGATCTTGATCTTTTCCTGTGTTTCTTGGTCTTCTTTGCTTTCTTGTGTGATTTTGAATGATTGTGCGTACACGCCTAATGTAAAGCCAGAGTAAAATAAGTATCAGACGCCAATGTAGCTAAAAACGGCACAGAGCAGAGCAAACAGAGGTAAGTATAGCTGTTAGCACTGAAGAAAAGCAAAGCTGATCGATTGTAGCGAAAGTGGTTTGTGTTCAATATCGAGATTACAAAACGCAAAATATGGCTGAACCGTTTGGGGCAAAAACTGTATACCTACCTCAAGAGAACTAACATGTTCATTGAACAGTCTTATTCGCTCAGATTCCACTGTAACCGCTGCAAAGGCAGGATCCTCTTCGAGTCTTCCTCTCACCTTTAAAATAAAACACTTTGCATCACTTTTTGAAGTCAGGAAGGGAAATGACCGACTTGACTTACTGAAGAGACTTTATCTTTGCAACGGAAAGCTTGTGCAAACAGCAATCCAAGAGGAATGATAGAATGTCTAGCCCAACAAAGCTAAAGTCAGGCAGAAAAAGGCCTTTCATATTTCAATGCACAATTTTATTTTCTGAGTTTGTTCGGTTGTATCGTATTTAACAATGGTTTCCACATTTATACGAGCGCATTTAAAAAATAATAATAGCCAGTAACCACTCCATCAAGACTTACCTCTTCCCAGGTTGATTTTTCATCAATCACAGGGCTACAAGATTTTAAGAGTTGCTTAAAGGAACTTTCTCTTCTTCTTTGCTGAATGGTGAACAAAAAATACAAGAAATATTACACGTTAATGACAAGCAAACAAAAACAACAACAACAACAACAACAACGACAACAAGTAATGTAGCCTAATAAAACAGCTGCTTCATCTCAGGAGGCACGGTGGCCTAATGCAGCGCTGGAGTCCAGATCAAGTGGTCTGGGTTTGTGGCTTAGAAGGGTCATTGTGTTATGTTCTTGGGAAAGACACTTGCAGTGCCTATCTTCAACCGGCCAGAAGGGTACCAGCCCTTTTTCACTTTGGTGATTGGGGGGCGAGGCTCAATTCCTGACGTGTTATAAAAGCTACATAGAAAGCTAAGACACACGAGTAACAAAGTCATGAATGCAAAGAGCAGCAGGTTCCCGACTGATGGGTAAACAATCCAACACTTGGTGAATTCGGCTTCACAGTGACTAACATTATCGCTTTAAAATAATTACCTCTCTTTCCTCTTTTTTCATTCTTTCCTTCTCCCTTGCCTCAGCTTTTTCAATAAGCTGCAACAGAGAAAAACAATAGAGACTATCGCAAATCGAGCTTTGTGGAACTATGGAAGGTGTCAGAACCTAGTGACTGGTGCCTTCGACAGGTTCAAGCAATAGCCTGGGTCACTGACTTGTTTCCTTGGACAAGAGACACTATTCTGATAGTCCCTCCTTTGTATGCATTAAAACAGTCAAGTAGGTAACATATGCAGTAAGGTTTTAAAGCCTGTAGTAGTTAGCAGGAATGTTGCTAAGCCAGAGCAAGATTGCCTGATATATAGCGACATTGACAAGTGGAAGTGACAACTATGCTCATAAGAATTTGACAAAAGCAACACTTCTCAAGATACAAATGATCATCGTCGTTATATACACCTCAAGCAGTTGTGAAATTAAAGCCTTTCATTATCTTTCAGGTATTCACTAGCAAAAGCAACACTCATTCATCCTGGCAGCAGTTTATCTGTTTTCTAATGGACTTTCTCAAACTCATTAATAATGCACCAAGTTTCAACAAAGGAAGTCATGACCGGGACGGTGTTTGGATATCTCATTTTAATTAGCATAGATTTTAACAATTTCATTTCTTCATTTTCTCCTTAGTTTTAGTTTTGATTGAGAAGATATATCAAACACTCAAGACAGTGTTTGAACACATTTCCAAACACCTCACTGTTTGACAAAAATACTCCGCTCTGCGTCATATTTTCAACTCTCTTCTCGGAGTTTAGAAATGCGGTCAAACACGGTCTTTCGTGTTTGATATATTACGTAAGAATCACGCATATGTTCACTAACAACTGCTTTAGACAGACAAAAACGACCTACTTGTACTTACATGGTTGAAAGACATTTTGATGTTTCCAGGGTCCAATGTGTCGCTTCTGTGGTCTCCTTTTACAAGATCGTTAAACTCACTGAAGCCAGTGTTCACATCAACTGTGTAATCATGATCCTGTCAGGAAATATTAATATGTCACTACATATTGTTCCACATTGCTACTGTTGTGTTTATGCCTCACATTTTGGTCTGATCAAAAACGTGGGAGTTTCCATTTAAATTACTAGGCTTTTTCTTACACGTTTTATAAAAAAAAAGGCAAAAGCTCCCCAGTCACGAGACTTGTCGACAGACTTTGTAATCTTGCATTTTTAACAAGAGAGAGCTTACATGCACACTACTAAACCAATTTTGCTTTTTGAATCAGATGCTTTGGGTGTGATATACTTTTGCTCTGTGAGAGAGCTAAAATCAAACGTTACATTACGTTACGTTACAGCTTTGACGTCTTTTATCGTGTATAAATAAAGGTTGTATGTATGTATGTATGTACATCCTACTTGATGTTGAATGGAGCTGCTAACCAACCAAACACTGTAAGCCATACAAAATGTGGAATGAAAAGGATTGACCCAACTCATGCGTTTTCATTCAACGTTTTGTGTTAAGACTGCTAAAATAAGACATTTTATCCAATGTAATGTCGGGTTAATGTGTACAGTCAATAAACAAAAAAAAGGTTCTCCTATGTTTAAAACAATCACTCATCTAAATGACAATTTCACAGATTTAGCCCTACCTTTAATATTTCTTTTATTATTTTCTTTTCTTCGCTGAATCTGGCCTTCAAGTCTTCCACATAAAACTTGAAAAGGTCTAATGGGGTTGACCCTGTAGGAATAAATAAACAAGTTAACAGTGAGTGAGATGCAGTAGTTGGTGTGATGGACTTCCAAGGACTCCAGATTCAAACCTTGCTAGCGTTCTAATGATGTCTTCGTCTTACTCCCACACTGCCTGCCTCCACTGATAAAATTGTTGGGTGGAAAATGAAAAAAAAAAAACAAAAAACAAAAAAACCAGAAATAACGTCTGCATAAGACCCAAGTGGCCCATCAGGCCGGCACTTATCTTCTATAGAAGTGAGTATTCTACTCCCCCCTGAATGGGATGCTAGTCCATCGCAGGGTTACCCCCAGCATGAAGTTCTTCGGTACCCATTTATACACCTGGGTGGAGTGAGGCACTGAGAGAAAAGCATCTTGCCCAAGAACACAATGCAACATTTCTGGCCAGGGCTTGAACCCAGACCGTTCGATCTGGGGTAGAGCACAGTAACCATGAGGTCACTGTGCCTCCCACTGGGTGGAAAGTGGAGAGGCAAAATTCCATGTCACTTTAATTTGTACAAACTAGAGTTAATGCTGGTGCAACAATTGGAGCAGACTAAGCCTTTTATGCTAAGAAAGCAGCATCAAGTACATGCATAGTGGCTGGAAAAATGAATACCATGTACCCTTCTGCTAGGAGATTGTATCAATTGATGTTCATGTATACTGGTTATATATTCATTTTGTCCTGATAAAGAATAATTTTCTATGAGAAAGGGTCAATTACTATAAAAAGCACTGAAAGTCAACTGACCAGGTTGGCCCAACATATTTTTAAAGCGGACATCATTGCTGATTGTTGGATACAAGTCAATCCAAAGAGACATGGAGTGAAGTTTGCCTCTCTTGTGCAACTCATCTAGTAATACCTGTGGTGAAAAGACAAAAAAATCAAAATTAATTACAGTGAAAACTAAAAAGAAAACTGCGAGCACTAAATGCTTTTGTAGTGTTTCATTCAGTATGATCAACCACAGGGGAGGGTGAGGCCCTTGACACAAACTGTAAGCTGAATGAATAGTTTACTACTTTTTATACACACTCCCTACTCTGCTGAACAGCCTTAACAGGATTTAAATGTACTTACCAGGAACCCTTCCCTGTTTTTCCTCTGTTGTCGTTTGACTCGATTCTTCTCTCTCTGTTTCTCCTCTTCTTCCTCTTGTTCCAGAGCTCTAATGTGCTCCTCAAATGATATCAACATGTCTTCTTTTTCACAATCTGAATTACGAACAAAATTAAAACAAACTCATCATATATTTTTCAAACCTTTAAGAGTTATAGGTAACAGTCCTGTGCTAAAACTCTTGCTACACAAAGACAAGAACACTAAAACGGCCAAGTTTGATGTGGACTATAACATTTACACTTACCTCGTATTTCCTCATCATCTTTATAAGTTGGGTGCTCCTTAAGCATCTGCAAGGCCTTTTCAAAAAAAGTATAGAAATAAGGTTTTAACACAAAGTGAATCCAGTTCAGCTAAATTCTGACCTTTAAATAAAAGTTTTAAAGTTGAAATCTGGTATTTTTAATCCTAAATGCATTCAACATAGTCTAACAGCTACAATACATGTATTTACAGACATTTGTATGGATGTGTGGCACTTGCACAGAGCCAAAAGAAAACAAAAAGTCTGAATATTCACATTATTTTATTCAAAACATATGTTATGCTTGTGTTATTCAACATTCCTCACAATGCATAATTTAGTTCGTATAGTGTGATCGTCTGGGTGAGGGTAGTTCTGAAAAGAACTGTTGTTGGTGACTGATGTTTCAACAACCTGAGTGGAAGTCATCTTCAGAGTCAAGTGACTCTAAAGATGACTTCCGCTCAGGTTGTCGAAACATCAGTCACCAACAACAGTTCTTTTCAGAACTATCCTCACCCAGACGATCATACTATACAAACTACTGATACTCCTGAGTTCAAACCATTTACAATGCATAATTTCTTACAGCAGCTAAATGACAAAGTCAACATGCATTTGTATCTATGATAAGGTTGCCAGAATACATTTAATTTTCAGAACATTTATGTTGATGAGATCAAGAAAAGCCTGTATAAACAAAGATTGCCCCTTCTTCCAAACTCACCTCTGCCCAAGTGGTCCTGTAAGTAATAGCAGGCATGGTACTGTACACTGTTAACATAAGCTTTCTGTTGTGCGCTCGTTGTTCTTTCTCCTCTTCCTTCTCCTTTTTTGCCAGAAAGAACACCACATCCTCAAACACATCCTTCCTGTCTCTTTCATGAACAGCTTCCCAAACAGGTTCACCCTGAAAAATTTCCCCAGCTCTTCGCCATCGAACTGAAGAGTGCATCTTTTTGTGACTTTCCAGGAAGCTGCGCAAGTCTTCTCGTGCCTGCTTTGCTTTTGCCCTTTGTTCCTCCTGACAGTAGCACAGAAGTATAAAAGGGTAA